ACATTTTTTTTCTTTTCCTCCCCTTGATGACTTATTTCCTAATATTTCTACAAACCTTGTGGAATAGTCTTCAAATATTTTTCAAGAACCATAAAGGATCTCATTGAACCTAGTTTTGATTGCAGTCAACTTAATTTTCCTGAAGCTACATCTGTAATGAAAAAACTTATGGGTGTACATTTCTTTGTGTCTACTTACCCACTCCCACCAACAAGTTTCTAGTACAGTAATATTTTTTTGCAGTGGGATATTTAACATTCTCCAATTTTGTTGCTTTGTTTGGTTTCTTGAATACTTCTGTTGAGTGCGAAGGTTGGTTATTAAAACAATAACTTTCAAATTTTTCAGCACGTTTACCTCGGGTAATGGACTACCAATAATTCCGTCAAGTGGAATGCTTCTCCTTTGTGATCATGGAGCCTGTGTTTATTCTTTATCAGCTTTAAGTGGGTACTTGAGAACTTAAGCATTTCCAAATGTGAAGTAATGCTGGTTACTAGATGTTATGAGCGAGTATCAACATTACCACACAAAACAAAAAATTGATGAAATAATAATAATAATCTTTGCATTTGATATAGCGCTTTTCACGTCTTCTCGACGTCTCAAAGCACTTCACAGAATATGCTGTAAAGTGAATTGACTGTATATTTGTGGGCAAAACGCAGCAGCCATTTGCGCACAGTAGCGTTCCACAAACAGTCGTGGATTGAAATGACCAATTTATTGTTTTTTTTGAGGGATTATCATTAGGTGTGTGGGGAAAGGAAACTTGCCCAAGGTTTTGCCCTGCCTAGAATTGAACCCAGGTGTCTTGCTTGCAAGGCGAGTGCTCTAACCACAGGACTCCAATGAGTCCCCTCTCTCTCCTTCTTTCTTTCTACTGACTTTATTTATACTGCACCAGAAAAGCTAAGAATGCTATTGCACATCATGGGAGTGGACCAAAGTGAACATTTTTTAATTTGACAATTTTTTGTTTTGTCCATTATTTAAATAGCTACAGATGGAAAGGGCTTATTTAAAAATATTTTTTTTAAAAAAAGCCATAAGAGGTTTTGCTTTATTTTCTCTCCTTTGGGCTTGCAAATTTTCATTTAGACAACTAGGCACTCCCCATTCCTGAAACTTGAGCTCTTGAAGCAGACTTGAACAATCTGCCGTGAGAGACCAACCAGTTCTCTAAAACATTCCACAGGCAGAATCTGCTAATTTAGAATTTATTTTGCACCCCAAAGCTTGTATGAAGTCATTCTCTTCAATTGAAAATCTTACTTTAGATTTCTTTCAATACGTTTTCTATATTGTGAGTTCAATGCTGTAGTAACTTGGCAGACAGATTACATTGCCTTGTCTCGCCTGTATTATTGCCATCTGTGCAGGATTTCCATTTGTGTCAATTTTCAGGTAATGAATGCTAATTGAGCTTAAAAGGGAAATGTGGTAAGAAATTACACTTTGATCTAAACAAAGAAACGAGTTGGGTCAGAATACTCCTAATGACTCATAAAAGATATTTTGGGAAGGAGTTAAAATTTTAAATCTTTCAACACTTCTGAATAAGTTAGAAAATGATGTATACTAGAGTCGAGTTCTAACACAGTAAATAAACTCCACATAAGTCGTATCAGTCGGGGACATTCCATTTAAAATGACTTGCGCAAAGTCTGAGTTACAGGCAAACTATAGAAGTTGTAAAAAATCCAATTGTAATCACTGGGTAAGGAATTCATTCAAGTAAGGTCCTGTAGCTCAGTGGTTAGAGTTGAACCTGAGTTCAATTCCAGGCAGGGCGAAACTTTGGGCAAGTTTCCTTACTCCACACACCTAATAATAATCCCTCCAAAAACAATAATAAAATTGGTCATTTTCAACCTACGGCTGTTTGTGGGACATTGCTGTGCGCAATTGGCTGCCGCGTTCGCCCACAAATATACAGTCAATTCACTTTACAGTGTATTCTGTGAAGCGTTTTGGGACGTTCTCCCGACGTGAAAAGCGCTAAATCAAATGCAAGGATTATTAAGTGTGTGAGCAATGGAGGGTTGGGGAGTGGCATTCTTAGTTAGGAGGTGATTAATATGAGTATTGTATAGAAATCTAAGTAGTTTTGATAGGAAACTGAATAGGACTCAGATGAATGTACAATTTAGGGGTTTATACGAGTTATAAAGATAAGACTTATTTAAGTTTTACTGTAGTTTGGTTCCTTGAAATCCCAGCACTTTCAGGTTTCACCGCTGATGGACACAGAAAGTTAGTTTGCTTCAAAGCACTGGGCAGCTTTCTCTGGGCATTTTAGATTTTGGGGTTAAAAGAATGTTGGTATTGTATAAACACAGCCATGGTTATAATTGAGTGTGTTTATAAATAGAATGAGTTATACAAATGAGTAGGAACTCCTAACTGTTTAAGCATGGGACTGTTGCATTTACATGCTCTGATGCTCAGTTCTTGGGCTTGAGTGGAGAAAATATTCTGCAAAGGAAGGGAACTGATACAGTTGGGGGAGTTGACAGCTTTCAATCAATTAAGGGCTTTAACACTGACGTAATTGAATTTCAGCCTTTTATTCCCAAATTATTTGCTGAAAAAAAAACAACCTGCAGTTACGCCCATCATTACATCTCTTGAATATCATCACACCCCTGAACTTGGAGCATGACACCATGCTTGATTGGAGTACTGGCACATTGCTAAGCCACAAGAGATACTGGGCGAGGGTTTGTCTGGCACTTAACCTAATCTCAAGCATGAATTTCTCAGTTTATTTGCAAAGGTTTGATTTCTAAATCCTGTTATTAGATTTAAATCTAATGAACTTAAATTTCCACTTGTTGCTGAGTCATAAACAAGGGAGTATAACTATAAGATAGTCACTGGCAGATCTAAAAGAGAGTTTAGGAGAAATTTTTTTTAACCCCCCACAGAGGGTGGTGAGAATGGAACTCAATGGAAACTTGATGCATACACGAAGGAGAAGGGAATTTGTGATGTGAGAGGGGATTAGGAGGGATTGTTACTCATGTGGAGTATAAACATTCACACAGACTAGTTGGGCTGAATGGTCTGTTTCTGTGTTGTGATTTTCTATGTAATTCTATTCACTGTGGATTCTTTAGGTTTCTACACAGGTGATTTTGGTTTCCAGCATATGGATTGCCTGGTTATTATGTAAGATGCATTCTTATGAACTGCTGACACAATTCTAATGCATGATGAATAACCGTGAAAAGAATGGAACAGAGACATACAATACTATGGGCGTAAAGCAGAATTGATTTCTTGGATCAACTGGAAATAATGCAACAGAGATGTTAATAAAATCATGATCTTTGCATTATTTGAAATGGTGCTTTTCACGTCAGGAGGGCATCTCAAAGAGCTTCACAGAATTTACTATAAAATCTAGTGACTATTTTTATGGGCGAACACAGCAGCCAATTTGCACGCAGCAATGACTGACAAGTAGCTATAAAGTAAATTTATCTGGTGGTTGGTTGGCTAGGATACTAGGAGAAAATCTCCTCTCTTGTCAACTAATGTCATAGGATCTTTAATATCCCCCTGAACGAGCAGTCTGGAGCTTGGTTTAATGTCTCATTGCTTTGTCGGTATTTGTGGGACATTGCTGTGTACAAATTGACTGCTGTGTTCACTTACATAAGATGTAGATATTACAATAAATCCTGTGAAAAGTTTTGAGACATCCTCCTGACCATGAAAGATGCTATATCAAATACAAGTATTATTTATTTGAGGATCAGGTTTTGGGATAGACCTAGGAGAGGGTTGGTGCTCCACTCAGGATTGTGCAGGAGATTGCATTTATATTGTACCCTTCATGTCGGGACGATGTCCCAAGGAGCTGGAGAGTTTGCACCCAGGCTGGAGGGAGGATATGGGAGGTGTGAGGACCAAGGGGCTGGGGGGCGGGAAGGAAGAAGATAGCCAAAGGTCTGGTCAGAGGAAGGTATTGATCAAAAAGGATACAAAGAGCATCTAGAATTGTCCCAGCAAATATAGCTTCTAAAGGCAAATAACTGTTAAACATTAGCTTATGTAATATCAACTTGTTGATGGTACACAAAGCTGCCTTGTGTTACAGTACCTTGTGCACAAGCTGCTCGTGTCCATTGCAGGTAAAAATTCTGTAACTATTTTTAATGAGGGTAGAGTTGTAAAGAATATTGAAGACCCAAACGCACATGTGACCATTACATTCTGTGCTACTAAACGCTCTTGGGTTTAGTTCTTGGGGTGGCCATGTCATTGAGAAGTTTGGAAGCACCATTTTGGAATATAATGGGGTTGAGGTTTATACACTGCACTTGCTTTCCTAAAAGTAGGGTGACATTGATATGGCAGTTTGGTCTGCACAAGCCAAGTAAAGACTCATTCGAGACTTTTCACCTTTGTCCTGGAAAGAAGTAGCTTAGGAGTAAACATGACTGCTGCCCTCTGGGACCTTGGCTGCAGAGGAAGAGCCAGCTGACAGTAACAATTTCTGGCCTCTGATCACTAGAGCATGTGTCAGTCAGGAGCTGGAGAGGCAGATGGTGAGCGAAGTTGCCGTATTAACTCCTTGAACACTTGTTACTCCAATTTAGTGTTTGTCGTTACCTTGACTGCACTGATTCTCCCGCTATTTAAACTCTTTACATTCCTGTGCTGAGTCGATACTTTAAAACGTTATCATCCACAGCAAGTGGGCTAATATTTGTCTGACCAGCTACCCAGTTTAAAGCACACGAACATTGTTTGCCCATCACTATTAAAAGTCTGGGAATACTATTTTACTTGCAATGGATTGCAATCTACTTTACTCGTGTCATCACTTTTTTTTGCTTAATGTTGACGCAGGATAAAACCTTGATTAACTTGTAATACTGACCTTTGAAAACTAAAAATGTTGACTTTGAGAAGTCTTGTGACCTGGTTGCACAGGAAATAGTACCTGTGTACACACTGGCCTTTTTAAAAAAAGTCACATGTAAACTGCAGGATCATTTGAGCTGCAGCAAACCTGTATAGTAGGTTTGCAAGACTGTGTGCTGCAGGTCAGTATTCATAATGTTTATCAAATTATTTTGTGGAGAAATTATACCTATTTTTGAACTCTGTTTTGGTTATATTCCTATTTTGGCTTGTTATGCACAAGTTTGAAATTGTGTGCTCAAGTTTTCCTTCCAATTTATGGTGCAACCTCTATATTTTTCTCTTTTTTCCTTATTTTGACCTGCTTCCATTCACAAGTGGCAATTTGCAGACGCTCGCCTTGACAGCAAGTGTTTGCAGGCCAGTCCACTGTAAGAGACGCCATGCTCAATGTCCAGACACTTTACAGCAGGAATCTCTGAAAAATAAGCGGAGAGAGAGCTCTAGCTTTTAATCTTCTTTCGTCCGTCTCTCACCAAGAGCTAGGTTTGAGTTGATTGTGTCCAGTTGAGATATGTTAACAGCATATTCAAGTCTGGAGTCTTTAATGTTACATAGTTTTTTGTCAATTAGAAGCTGGTAGCGTGCATTAGTTGACATGAAAGTCAACTAGATTTTGGTGGTGATTTTTTTGTAACTATTTATATGCAGAATTTTGATTGTGATTGCTAACACTAGTCTGTTCAATTTCAGTGAAATTAAGTTGCTTTCTTTAAACTAATTAGACTTGCTGTGGACAGTGGACCGAAATTCTAACCAGTAAGTCATATTAAAGTGTGTTATATTTTATCAATTATCATTATTGTGCCTATTTTTGACTAGAGGGATCATGTTACCTTTTCATTATTTAAGAAAGCTGTGTGAATGTTTTTGATAAATGCTCTTGCTCATTCAGGGGGCTTCATGGGCTCTTGGCACAGTTATTGCATGCAATATGTTGGAAGCTGATTAGACTCCATCAATACCCTAACCGGTACCCTACTCCCCAAGCCTTGGCTCTTTCCAATGTGCACCTAATACTTTCGGAAATAGTTAAACCGATGGTGCCCTTTCAGGATTGTGTGCATTCCTTTCCAGACGTGGAGACATTATCATGTGTTGATGGACTTGACAGTCTGGTTTCTTAAGCACAGCAACAACAACAAGGTTCCAGCGCCTTTCACGTCGGGAGGACGTCCCAAGGCGCTGGACAGTTGGGTCGGGACCCGAGCAGGGGGGAAATGGTCAGGGTGAGGGGAGAGAAGGAAGGGAGCGGGGAGGGGGTAGAGAGTCGAGAGGGGAGCTGAAGGCACGTCACAGAGAAAGGTCTTGAGACCGGCCTTGAAGGAGGAAAGGGAGGAGGCGGCGAAGGCACTGGGGGATGGAGTTCCAGAGCCTCGGGGCTGAGAGGCTGAAGGCCTGGCCACCGATGGTAGGGCGGTTGGGGCGGGGGATGTGGAGCAGGCCGGAGCCAGAGGAACGGAGGGTACGGGCAGGTAGGTAGGGGGATAGTAGGTCGGAGAGGTAGGAGGGAGCGAGGCCGTGAATGGCCTTGTAGGTGAGGATGAGGATCTTGAATTCGATCCTCTGGGGGATGGGGAGCCGGTGGAGGCGAGCACAGCGATGAGTTTCCACCTTGCTGACCAAGAAAACATTCTGGTGTAAATGTGATTGGATAACCTTTGTTTAGAGTTGGGATAGATATGTTTTGTTTACTTTAGTCCATTGAATTCCCTCCTGTACTGAATCCATCACAGCCGTCCTAACCACAAATATGAGCCAGTCCAATGTTGTTTTCCTACTCTCTCAGTGTAGCCCGAAAGCCGGTGTGAAGTGTGGGAGAAATTGGTTCAAATACAAGTTCTTAATTTAGGATATCAGTTTAATAATTAGCACAGTTTTACATTTCAAGCCTGAGTTTTATTGCCTTCTGTAGTGTAATATTGTACAGTTGGAACTTAATGTATCTGTGTCACCTGTTATGTCAGCTCAAATATGTCCTGTGCTTTTGTTTTCCACTCCAAGCAACTAAGTGGAAAAACTGAACTGAAAAGGTGCGCTTGTATAACGTCTTTCATGTTTGAGAACGTCTCACAGGCACAGAGTGATCTTGAAAATTAGTATGAGAAACTTGAAATCGATTTGCTGGAGGACAGGAAGTGAGTGGAGCCCGGTAAGGTTACAGGCACATGGAGCCAAGAGAATGAGGTGGATAACTCAAAATTTGTGGAGTCCTGTCGCTCAGTGGTTAGAGCACTCGCTTTGCAAGTGAGAGACCTGAGTTCAATTCCAGGCAGAGGGCGAAACCTTGGGCAAGTTTCCTTACTCCACACAGAGCCTAATAATAATCCCTCCAAAACCCAAAACAATAATAAATTGGTCGTTTTCAATCTACGACTGTTTGTGGGACATTGCTGTGCGCAATTGGCTGCCGCGTTCGCCCACAAATATACAGTCAATTCACTTTACAGTGTGTTCTGTGAAGCGCTTTGGGACTTCCTCCCGACGTGAAAAGCGCTATATCAAATGCAAGGATTATTATTATTAACGTGTGTCCCAGAGGTGGAGGTGGGCAGTCTTTGTCAAGACGTGAGGTTTAATAGAGAGTTGAGGTTTAACAGTAGAACACCAAGGTTTAATAGAACACCGACTTCCTCAGTGAAGGTGAAATGTAATGTATTAAAGCCTTTTAACGCATGATGCCAAAGAATGTACGATCATACCACCAACCCCAAGCAAAATATATATTACAGCACGGCTTAACAATTTTGTAGACTTAATCTTACAATCAGCACTACCTCTTTTCCCTCAAGAGAACTACTGATGAGCTTTAATTTCCTTCAAGACGTCGTTCATTTTGTTTAATTCATAAATTTTAATTACCTTGGAGGAAAGGGTTTGCTGAGTCAGCTGTTTTTTCTTTTGAAGAATTTTAGAATAATCATTGGAATAACCATTTACGTAAATTAAAGATGTTTTCTTGAACATAATTTCAACTATGTTGAGCTCCTACAGCACATTAACTTCTTTTTGAACCAATACCCCTAATATCAATGGTACTTGGTAAAAATAGGCTCATGTGAGTTGAGAGCAGCAATATAAAATAATATATATTAAGACTAAGATGTATGATGGAACTCAGAACCTCAACTAGATTGTAAGTTGCAGTAAGAATAATAATAATCCTTGCATTTGATTTAGCGCCTTATATCTTCGAGACGTCCCAAAGTGCTTCACAAAATATACTGTAAAGTGAATTGACTGTATATTTTGTGGGCGAAACAACAACAATTTTCATTATATAGCACCCCTCACTCGGGGTAGCGTCTTGGAGTGTTTGAAGAGCAAGTTGTTGTTGTAAATTGCAGAAATGTGTAAATATTTGTTTGTACATTCTTATTTTAGGATAGATTTATTGCATTAAGATTTGACATTAAACCACAGTGCTCCATTATGTTTATGTGTGCTATTGATTATACATTATGCGCCTTATGTGCATACATTATGTGACAAAAAGTACTTTAAATTCAAGAAATTGACTGATTGAGCATTTATTCCTCCCTTCCCCTCAACATATGGTTGTGGGAGTTGTTACTTCTATATGTACCTATACCTATAAATTCTATAAAATTCTTATTATTTTAAATACATGTTTAAAAAAAAACAATCTTGGCAATCAGTGTAATGTTACCAAAAGTTAATCCTGCTTTTGATTTAAAAAAGACAATCTGGGATGGATGAACGTGATTAGCAACAAATTCAGACTCTGAAATTTTACTTTAATGATTATGCTATGACTGTTGGTTGGTTGCTGGACAGCTTTGAAGCACCTTTGGTTTGCAAACCAGTTAGTGCTGGTTCTAAGCATCTCTCATGGAAGGGGCAGAGGAAGAGAGAGGGGAGTAAAGGTATTTTTAACAATCGTGACACTGGACTGATTACGGAATAAGTTCTCAATCCATTTTTACTTGTGCTGAGATGCAATCATTCTTGTATTTGTAAAGAATTAATTCTATGCTGTTTTAAAAAAAAATCTGTTAATTTGTTTTAGGTTAACTTTATTCCTGTAAACTCTGAGGAAGTTACCTGGAGGAATTGCTGAACACACCAGTGTGAGGAAGCAGAAACCGCTGCCAACAGATCCAGAGATAATGTATGTATTATCCATACAGCTCCATTCTTTAAGTCTTGTGACTCTACGTCTTCAAATTGTTCATCCACGATTTCCCAGTTTTAAATGCACTCAGCTTGGGGATGGGGTAGAAAAAGTATATTGATTTACATTTTACTGTTCATATTTATTGGTTCATTCGTCAACCCTCAACCTTTTTTTTCTCTCCAATGCCTTCCTTAGCAGACTCCCCATTCATAAAAATGCAAAAACTCCACTGCCCGAATCCTCATCCGCACCAAACTCCGCATCCCCATTTTGTCATTGTTCCATGTAGTATGTTCCACTTCAGGTACACAAGTGTTTTTCAGGAAGAGCTCTTTCCTTTTTCTCCTCCACCATCTCTTCCATGTTCTTTTCCGCACCAAGCTCCATGACCCCCTCCCCATGTTCAGGCCTTGCACTGGAGACTCGTGCATTCAAAAGATGATAGCTTTTCTTGTGTTGGTGGAGGGGAATAGGTGGGGTATTAAATGGATTGGTCAAGGCATGGTGTGGAGGTGTAGAGATATCTCTGTCCTTCATTTAATCCTCATATTCCTTTTTGTGCCAGACAAGTTGTTAGTCGACCAACTAGTTACTATTTTTCTTGGAAGTGAGATAAGTGGGTCCCTTTGAGGTTGGGTTGGTTTCCAGGTAGCATATCTAGTGATGGAAGATTAGAATCAAGTCATTTTTGTGTCGATCTCAGCTGAGCCAGGTAGATCTGCAGTTCTCTCCAAAGCACTATTGATGAAGGACCATCCAACCTGCATAGTTGGCAGCAATTGGAAGGTAGAACCAATTTTTGGGAGCAGGGTTTCTTCCCACTTGGCTTCAGCTAACCCTGTAAGCCAAAGCCCTAACAGGTTGGGTGGTCCTAGCTGGTAAAGCAGCGGGAAACTTGACGGTGCTTACAGTGGCAAAGTGTAGTTTTAGGTGGTTAAACTCCAGCAGTATCCCAGTTCAGTATTTGAGATTGCCAAACTTTGACTCTTGCTAATCTGAACCTAAATTTTCCAGGATTAAGTGAGCAACTATTCTCTGGGGAAAGAGTGTGCAATCCATGCCAGCCAACCCAAAGCCTTCATTTGTGGTTTCTAACTTGGTTTGATTTAGAAACATTCACGTTTGGATAATTGTTTCCACATATGGCAGATGCCCAGAGAAAGATGAACAAAAACGTACTGGCACTGGGAAGTAATTTACAGAAAACATTACCTTTCAAATTCCACCTTTGTCCTGATTTACTTCAGACAGTCTCCAGAGTTGGGCAGATTCTTAAACTAGTCTTAATCTGTTTTTCTTTTAAAATCTCCAGAAAATAAACTTCAAAGTTACAGACTGAATTTAATAAATTACCAAATCCTGGACCTTCTGAAATGCTTAGAAAATGTGACGCATGGATTATCTTCACAGAAGTTGGGCTGAAGGTTTCCGTGCCGTATCTCTCTGCTTATGTCTTGGCCTTTTTTTATATATAGTTACAGCAGTGAGGTACCGACTGCAACAATGGAAACGCATGAGCTGATAAATCACCTACGTGTCCCAGAGCTTTGGGAGCTCCGACAGTACATACGCTCTCTCCCAACATACACGTTAATGGGCATTGGTGCTATTGCTGCACTTGTAACTTACTGGTATGCTACAAGAACCAAGCCACCAAAACCGGCATGTGACCTGTCCATGCAATCGATTGAAGTTGCGGTAAGATTCAAAATATTACAGGCATTATTCCAAGGTGCTTTCATGTTATGATTAGCCTTAAAACAATTCATGTTTGCATATTACAGTCCAGCACAGCTGATATCCCTTTGTTTGGAATGCATATTACTATGGATTATTGATGCTTGTTCCTTATCACGTATGTAGTCTTTGCTGCACAGGCCTATGAAGGCTCCCTTTTTTGTTCCTTCCTTGAAGGTATACAGAATCTCAGATCTCAAGTATTTATCTTCTGTTTTATTTTTAAATAAAGGAGTCAAAGCCAATTGTGGTTGTTTTTAGAAAAACAGAAGTTATGGCAGAAGAGCAATTTGCATTTATATAGTTCTCTTCAATCAGAATAGCATCTCCAAGCTCTATACAGAGAAGGGTCGGACCCTGAGAAAAGGAGGAGGTGACTATAGGTTCAGTCAAAAAGGTAAGTTGTAAAGTGGGACTTGAAGATGGATAAAGAGGGTGTGTGTCAGGAAGGGAGGTCCAGTGATTAGGGGTGTAGTGGCAGAACACGTGGCCATCGATGGTCAGGGGGACGTGCAATAGGCCTGTGCCAGCTGAGCAAAGAGCAAGTAGAGGAGTGGAGTATGAGCATGACAGAGAAGTAGGAATAATCTACTTGTGACTGGATTTGTACTGAGGATGGGGATCTTGAAATGTGTCCTCTCAGAGACGAGGAGCCAGTGGAGCTTGGCGAGGATTGGGATAATGCAGAGGTTGCCTCTGTGATCTTTTGTGATCCTCGCCCCCTGGCTTGCTTCATGCCTACACCCCCCACCACACGCACACACGCTTCACCCTATATTCTCCTGTTCTGAAAGGTGCTATGAGTGCAAATCGTTTTAACTTCTCATATGTTTGGAACATTGCAGGCACAGATTAGCTCTTGCTTTTGCCTACATAAAATTCTGTACTATGTACATTTGTTATTATTTCCAGATAATATATTCGTCTGATTTTCTTTGCCAACAAATGATCTCTACACTAACTCCTGTGAAGTGCTAAGATATCCTCCTTACTTGATGGGTGCTGTATCAAATGCACGTATTAATTTTTAGGTTCTATCTGCTTTGCAATACAGTTGGATGTAAAGGGTCTAAGGGTCATAGCTATAAGAGTCACAAAAAAGAGCGAAAGGATATCTTAGGAGAAACACTTTCACTGAGAGTTCTGAAAATGTTATCGTGAAGTAAGGTGGTAGAGACGGAGTTCATTGTGGATTTCAAAAGGGAAGTAGACAGGTATATAAAAGGGGTAAGGGGATAGGGCAGGGGGCTTGATTAAGCAAGCACCTTACTTTGAGAGCCAGTTTAGACTCAATGGACCAAAATGCCCTCCTTTGCTGTAAATTTCTACCACAAATATTGTGTACAAAGAGGTTGTCATTGCTATTTAAACATGCATGGAATCTTTTTCCTTGTTACCCAGGTTTATATTCCCAGCCTAATCCAAATTTTCTAAATAATTGGCTGCTCATCTCGTTGGTCTCGGCATCAGGCTCCGCAACTGTTAACAGCAACCACAACAAAAAATTACATTTGTGTAGCGTCTTTTATGTCGGGAGGACATCCGAAGTACTCTGAGACGCTACCCTACTTGAAGGGCACTATATAAATGCAAGTTTGTTGTTTTTTTTATGTGATATTACTGGCACAGATTAGGATTTATCTATTTAACATTCAGTTCCTTTCTAATCTAACATTTGTTAAACATATAGATGTTTTTAATGTGAAAGATGCTATTAATCTTGAAGAAATAGAATTGTTTCAGAAGCATCCATCCGTTTTATTTACTGAAGCTGAACAAGTCGACGCCAGTCTACTGTTTTCTCACCATCCCCAAGATTTAATAGTAAAACTTGAGAATGATCGAATCAGATTTCCTTAGAGATTAGAATTTCTTTTAAGTCACGCAATGCAGAACTTCAAACTTGATTGTATTTAGTACTGTCTGGGACTTTTCTCAAAATGCAGGATTCAAAAGTTGTTCCAACCTGATAATCAAAGGTCCATTGTATTGCTGATTCCTTTTTGACTGGTGGCTTGGTTATTTGAGCTATGTTAATTTGTTCGACCACAGCTGCATGTAGATATTAAAGCATTGTGATTGTAATCATGAATCTGACTTGCTGGTCACAAAAGTACAGGGCATTGTTAACCCTTTATATGCCCAATTCCCTCATATTTGCTACTTGTGACCATCTGTTTCCAAGTTTAACAATTTTTTTGTGGGAAATTTTCTTCTGCTTTTTTTTAAAAAAAAAACTTGGGTGTTTACAGTAAAACTCAAGGTAGCAGTAAGGAGTGCTATTGCCTCGCAAGCGAGAGACCTAGGCTCAATTCCCGGCAGGGCGAAATGTTAGGCAAATTTCCTTACTCCACACGCCTCAACGAGTATTGGTTACTCATTGGGTACCCATTGGTTAGTCGATTGGCGTATCACTTTTCCGGGGGTAATAATTCCTTATAATAATAATAATTTGGTTACTCAATCCATGATTGTTTGTGGGACACTGCTGTGCACAATTGACTGCCGCATTTCACCCACAAAATATACAAAATACACAATTCACTTTGCAGTATATTCTGTGAAGCTCTTTGAGACGTCTCGAAGACGTGATAAGGTGCTATATCAAATGCAAGGTTTATTGTTATTCATTATTAACTAACTGCTATTAGCTTTGATTTCCCTGGTTTTGGAAGAGAGAAATCGGGTATGGTTCTTGCTGACTAGATTTCAAGAACTTTACACTTGGTTAAAATGACCTTGACGAGCAGAGGAAAATTGGATAAAGAACATTTTGACTTGATAATCCTGGCCTCACTAAATTCTGTAGCATTTAGTGTTCTATAGCAGATGTTCAGATCACCATACCTCAAACAAGATGATAGGACACGAGATCCCTTAACACATTCTAAGGTATTCAAAGTGAAATCTCGTGCAGTGGAAAATCAGGACCTTGGTTTATTGACATCATATATGGAGTGATAAGATTCTCGATGAGGATATATAAAGAGGATAAATCCCATATGGAGGTGCAGCATTTCTGCTGATCTTAGCCTTAAGAGCAAACTGTTGATTCTATTGATTTTTTTTCTTAAAGATTTTTTAAAAAAATCTTAATCTGTCTTAATTTGGATCAAAGAAGCTTTTATGCCTCTGAGTGGATCTTTAGCCTTTTAAATTGTCTAGATTCTTTCTACCTATTTTGAGTGTGCAATTCTAGTAGTGTAGAAACAGAATCCATGCCCAAGATTAAATTGCAGTTGAATTTCTTTCCTCCCCCTTCCCCCACGTTGCCTTTGTCCATTTTTTGTACAGACTCTTCTACTCTTTCTGGACTGAAATTAGCTTTTAATCATTTACAGCTACAGTATATCATTGAGAATATTGACTGCTGTAAACTGCATTTCATAGCTTGTCAGGATGATTTAGTTGAGGAATGTGACCTTTAGCATAGTGGACTGTTCCAACTAGTACAGCTTTGCAGAGGAAGATTGGTCAACTGAGCAATTGTGCACTAGTGCCTACCAGCACGCAATCCGATCTCTTATCACATCTATCAGACTACACAGATGGCAGTGGGAAGTACTGGAGTGTAGCTTGTAAATTTTTTTTTGGTTCTATTCATTTCATACCAGTGCTTCAGCTTCACCTGAATTGTGCTTGTACGTCATGCAGGTGTTTGCACAATTGGTGACCACACCATTTAACCAGGCTATGATGCTTTCTTTAAAAGTTTTGCATAATTTAGTAAACTGCTATTGGATACTAAGGCTGCATCCAGATATCACTATGTAGTCATTTGGCAGTTTCTTCACTGAATTTGTGCAACATGCTGTAATGCACACCAAACCTGTAATGGTGTTAGCTTTTTGTGCAGATCAATCCAGGCTTGGAGTGATGGGGATGCAAATAGATTTATAGTTGTATATGAACTTTTTTCAAGTTAAAAATGTATATTCCCTCCTTCCAATGGAATAATCAATAATCCTTGTTTTCCTATAATGCTGAAAAAACAAATTGATTCATGCACTATGTATTTGAGGACAAACAGAATTTGCACACAGCAAGATCCCCAAAATAGCTATGGACTGAGTGTCCAATTTATCCAGTGAATTGTTGGCCAGAACACTGGGAAAGACCCTATTCTCTTTTTAAATCATATTGTGGGGTCTTTAAACATTCACCTGAGCAACTTATTTTACACTCGAGCTCACAGTTCTCATATGCAGCATGATTCTATTGCCTTCCACCCACATTGAGAGTGGCATCTACTGAGCCAAGCTGACAACAACAAATTACATTTGTATAGCGCCTTTTATGTCAGAAGGACCTCCCAAGGTACTGGATAATCAAGGATTTGGACCCGAGCTGAGGGTTGGGATCAGGAGGGGTGGAGGGTGGGGAGAGTAGGGGTAGGAGTGTGACCAAAGGCACGGTTGAAGAGTGCAGGCTGGAGCAGAGGGAGGTTGTGGGATGGTCGAGCAGGGATAGGAGACAGGAAAGACGGTGGAAGAGAAGGATCGAGCGGGAGTAGTGGAGAGTAGAGGACAGGGATGGGAGCATTTTGGGCAAAGCAGCTCGGGTTGGTGGTGGCAGCCAAAATACGCACCTGAGACTAAGAACGGGTGGGGGTGCACAGCGTGGAATGCTGGCATGGATCATGGTGTAGGACAGTGTAGTCGTCCTAAAGCACTTTTCATGTTGGGATGACTTAAATCACTTCACAGGATTTACTGTTAAGTGTAATGGCTGTATTTTGTAGGCTGAAATGGCAGCCAATTTGCAGAGACCCATTAAATGAATGACCACAATGTTATGTGGGGGATTGTTGGCCAAGACATTCGAAGAAGTAACCATCCCTTTTTTAATATTGCTTTGGGATTTTAATGCCCACCTGAACAGTTAGAAAGGGCCTCAGATTAACGTCTCATCCAAAGCATGGCATTTCCAACTTTTGATATGGTGCATTATAAAAATGCAATTTCTTCGTAGTGACATAATGATTGTTGGTGGTTTTTGGAAAGTGAGTCTATGTTACCGTTTCATAATAGAATATTGGCAGGTTTTTTTTAAACAAATGCCTCAGTCTTAGTTTTCCAGACTCTTAATTATGAACGATGGATCATTCACCCTTAACAATGTCTCAAATTGAACTGCCGACGGCTGCAAAGATCCTTTAAAGACTAAAGTAAATTCTTTGCTTGTGTACTTGCTGCACAAAAATTAAATTGATGTGAATTTACTGCTGCCCAATGTTTCTTGGAAATATGTCTTTATGCAGAGATGAATAAACTGCTTGAACTAGTTACCGGGAAGGGGGTGGTGGAGGTTAGGTCACTGACTTAATTAAGAAACTGCTTGATGCTGAAAATGGAGTAAGGTCGGATGGGTATTCTGGAATGATGAGATCAATTGGGCCAAAGGGCCTTCTTCATCCCAAGCCTCTCGTGTTAAAAAAGAGCAACATAAATCACATTGCGCCGTTTTAGGTACTCTTTTGATGAGCACTGTTATCAATGCACTCAAGTACTGCACCAATCTAGAACATCTGATATTGATGGTATGTTCCCTGTTTTTGTGACGGTTGTCTTTCATTTGTGCCTAAATATGTTTTCAACAAAGCGCAACAGCACCGCTCGCTGGTGTTTGTTGGTATTGCAACCATGCGGTTGTGATGAAAGGTTGGGAATAGATGAAGTGAACATATTCTGTCAATAGTTGTAATCCTCATTCATGGTTTGATTGACTAGAATCTAGTCCGTATAAACTTCATGAAAGCTGAGGCACTAGTTGTACTACACAATTCAACTGCGGCCAAAATTGGGATCATTTTGGCCAAGCATACAGAATTGTTTTTCTTGAAGGAGTTTTAAGTCGCGTATTCATCATTTGGGTTCAGCCAATTTCACTTATTTGTTGCAAAAGAGTTAGTGACAATCTATTTGTAGACAAACACTGGTGCCAATTTACATTCTGCAATATCGCCCAAATATCCATGAAATGGAGAATTGTTGGCCGCGACGTATTCCATTCTCATAGTTTCTTGTAATTAACATCCATCTGAACAGGCCAACGGGACCTTGGTGTAATATCTCATCCAAATGGCTGCACCTCTCGTAATGCAGCTTGCCCCTATATCGCACTGAAATGTCTGTCTAGACTTTGAACTCAAAGGCCTGACACAGGGCTTGAAACAAAACCTTCCTATCCCCTAATACCTATTTCTCCTCTTGTTTGGTTTCTGTTCTCTTTCCATGACTTTTTCAAGAATATGGGAAATACTGTTATTAAATAAAGTTTAATGATCATTTCTAGTGACCTTGTTATAATGTGGCTGTGCATCGGATATGTTGTACTCCTTACTTTGTTTTCTAATGGGTTGACCCTTATCATTTCAGAGCGGTGAGCGTGCTCGAAGAAGCGCTCTGCTTAACAGTGATGATTTACTAACTCGGTACTATGAGGACATAACAACACTATACGAAGTGCTAAAAAGAGGGTTGAGAGTATCTAGTAAGTATTGCTTAATATGGTATTCTTTGAATTATGGTAATGTTTTAAGTCCACGATTGCTTTAACACCTAATGAATTACAGAATTAACATGGAGTTTGCTTCTATTTTTAAAAACATCTAAACGTTTGGTGGTGGGTGGGAATGTGTAAGAAAATACAAGTTTTCTCATGCATTGTGAATCTCAAGCTTTGGAGGTGTGAAGAATGAAGATGAGTCATTTCTCGCAATGGAAAGTAGGAGAGCTTGATAGACAAATCATCAACTACAATTATATATTTTGTATAGTGCTTCTAACATTAAGAGGACATCTCACACAGCTGATTGGGAGTTGTGTGTTTGTGTGTGGGGGGAGGGGGGTGGTGTGGGGGCTGGAGTGGGTGTTGTGTGTGTGTGTGTGTGTGTGTGTGAGAGAGGAGACTTGTTTCTATAAATAGCTTGTAACAGAACAGTTATTGAAGCCTTTGAGCAGATTGCCTGTCTGACAAAGGAAATCGAAACATGTAATAGAGATCTCTTTGTAGGAAGAAAGAGACGTCAGGCAAAAATGGAAGGAAGAAGGAAAACAGAAGTGGGGGAGAGACTGTTTTTCCCTCTCCTCTCTCTGTGCCACAGCTTACTTTCCCCTTTTACTCTGATGATATTGCCAGTACAAAGCATAGTAATGAGCACTAGCTGCCAAGGTTCTCAACCTTGCCCAAAAATGCCCCGTTCCTAACCAAAATTGAAGAATTTTTAAAAGTTCTAAAATTGTTTCTTTTGAAAGAAGTGTATGATTGAACCTAATACTTTAATATAAGGTATATACAGTATTTATGTTTTTTGTAAAATCAAGTTGTCTAATTCAGGAACATTATAATGGCCTGTCAGTCCAAATCTGGAGTTTTAACACTAAACTTGCATATAAAATAGCTTTCGGATAACAATATTGAATGAAGTTTTAAACTTCAACTTTAAATAACTGTATATTATACTAGCTAGCTTTTTCAGATTCATTCTGCAATTGAAATCTTATATTTAATAACGAAGCATTTAGAATGACTTGAATTTTCTACACAAAGTGTTGATTGTTATTATTCCGATATTTAGGGAATGGGCCTTGTTTGGGTTCCAGAAAACCAAATCAGCCTTATGAATGGATGTCCTACACAGAAGTAAGATTTTCTTCTTCAAAAGTAGATTGGTATTCGGTGGTGGTGGGTGGGTAAGGAGGAGATTTAGTATGAATATATGGAACCCTTGATGTCAGTTCTGCTTTAGTTTGTCCTTTAGTGTTATGATGTTATCAAATGCAAGGATTATTATAATGATGTTGGAAGATGTTTTTTGTATTTTTAACTTTTGCACAACTCATTGGATTTTTTTCCATCTCTACTGTGTATTTTTAAATTACTGTTAAGATTCTTCTCCTCCCCACAACTTCTTCACTCTGAAATGTTCTTAAAGTTCCTTCCCAATAGTCAGTTAACATTGTTAAATTGACCATTTTAGTGCAAAATCCTGGCTTGTGCAGGCAGGAAGCAAGTGGGCTGCTGATTGTGCATATGGGCAATGAATGAGGTCCACAGTGAAGCTACTTTATAAGCAAAATGAAGAAAATGTATAATTTGCTTGCATTTATAAGAAAATTTGTGCTATAGTTGAAGTACATTTATAACCAGACTGCATTATACTGTGCACATACTGGGTCAGTTTGTCTCATTGGTAGCTTTTTCATGGCTGAGTCAGAAGGTTGTTGGTTCAAGCCCCACGTTGGGACGTGGAATCACATAGTCTGAGCTGACACTCCAATGCAGTGCTGGGGATGTGTTGCATTGTTGGAGGTGCCTTCCTTCGACTGAGACGTTAAACTGAGCTCTTGTCTGCCTGTCCAGGTGGACTTTAAAGATCCCATGGCACTATTTGAAAAGAGTAGGGAGTTTCTCCCGGCCAACAAATCCCCTAAATAAAATTGGCCACTCACTCCGGGGGTGTTTATGGAACTTGTGTTGTGCGCAAACTGGGTGTTTCACCCAGCAAATACAGTCAATACACTTTATAGTTTATGCTGTGAAGCACTTTGAGATGTCTCAATGACAAGATAAGGTGCTATATCAAATGCAAGATTATTATGAAGATTATTTATTACTTTAATATAAGGTAGTTGGATTTGCATTATTTTTGTCTTTCAGGTCTCAGACAAGGCAGAATTTCTGGGGTCAGGTTTAATTAATCAAGGATGCAAAGCAACAAATGATCAATTTATAGGAATCTTTGCACAAAATAGACCAGAGGTGAGTTTTCTAGGTGAAACTGATGCAGCATAAAGTTTTTTCCTACCCACCAAGAAATATTTTGCCAGGAATTTAAATTGATGTAAAACAATTTGTAACATGCGACCTTCACTATCATTTAACTTGTATTCTAGCATTCTTAAATGTACCTTTACTTGGTTATTATGGANTTTTTTTGGTCGGCCGTGTCTGGCATCGACTTGCTTAAGAGTATCCAAGCCAAGCTGAGTTCCATGCATTCCACCTACACGTGGAGATCCCAGAGATATTTGTTGGGATGGAATGTGTACTCTCTCCCTGGAGGGACACATCTTCTTACCTAATTCTGGAAAGTATTAGGTGCAGGTTGGCAAGAGCCAAGGCTTGGGAACCGCAGAGTGTGTGTTGGGGTACTGGAGTCCAACCAGCTAACACTGCATAGCTTGCCATTGAGAGCACTGCCTGGCAAGCTTTCCAGCTGCTTGTCCAGCTAGGACCACCCTGCCCCTTAGGGCTTTCGTTTGCAGGGTTAGCAGGAGCTGAGTAGATAGAGTCTCTGCCCCCGTTGACTGGTTTGTCTGTCCAAACTCTCATCTGTGGTGAATGCTAATTAGCTACAAAGCCAGGGCAGCAGTGATCGTTGTTCTTGATATCACTGTGCTAGGGAGAGGAAATGCATGTGTATTAATTGGTACATACCCGCAGTTTAAGAAGCCAACGGAAAAGGAGGGAATCTCTTCAAAATCTTTGCTGTTGAATTCTGTTGACTCTCTCCACAGTTTAACATTAACATTTCATTCAAATGTAGATTCAATCATACAAGTGTCAACACATAAACATTATTTTATCTCTCTTTAGTGGGTTATTGTTGAACAAGCCTGCTATGCCTACTCCATGGTGGTTGTGCCTCTTTATGACACATTAGGGTCTGAAGCTATTTCCTTCATCTTAAAACAAGGTAGGTCTGCTATCAACGAGGTAACTTTTTTTTTAGGGGTGGCGGGGGATTGTGAGTGAGGGGTCCTCATTCTTTCTGGCAATTTCAAGTTTTGCCTTCTTCAGACGATAAGGTAAAGGCTCTTTCAATGTCCTGTATCTAAAATCAGGACTGGTTCTGTCAGCGATTATAAATGTATATGTTGGGACTGAAATAGCTATTTTAATGAAACTTTGGATTGATGTCAAATGAGAAATTAACCTGATATCTATCCCCTTTCTCTTAGCGGAGATTGCTTTTGTGTTCTGTGATACGTCGATCAAGGCACATAGTTTACTGGCAGGTGTGGAAAGGGGGCAAACCCCACTCCTAAAGGTGATCATTGTGATGGATCCTATTGGGAATGATCTTCAAGAGCGAGGAAGGAATTGTGGAGTGAAAATTGTTCATTTTAAGGAAGTAGAGGTGAGGTGTTAAAGAATATCATATCGTGCAATATCCTATCAGTAAGCCAGCAGTGCATTTGGAATACTAGGGACCCGCTCATTTTGGGAACCAGACAACTGATGCAGGTTTAGAGGCTCTATTTTGATATTCGTTTGTGAAGCAAGTCACCGTAGAGGCAGCTCTGCTCCAAGGAGATTCATCTTATCTCCGCCTTCACCTCTCTCCCCACCACCCCTGCCCCTGCCTCATGATATACATAATGCATAATAAAGCTTACATGTGGAGTGTAATTGATCCTAGCTTTGCTGATGTGCTACTACAGAACCAATAGTCCAGTACATAATAAACTGTCTCTTGGGTATAACTTGTAAACTAGTGTGTAATAGTTGTTGTGGTGTTATACTCTGTACATGCAAACAAAATAGTGCATTTATCTTTCATTTATTTTCCTTCTAGGATGAAGGAAGGGAGCAGAGACGACCTGTAGTAGTAAGTATCTCAGTTTCTTTGCTTCTTATTAAAATGAAGATATGATACTCCAAGTTTGTTGGAGCACGGGAATGCCCTAATTAAATCTGTGGGTGAAGCAGAATCTAATAGTTCTTAAAAGGAAGTTAGACAGATGTTTGCAAAAACAAAATGGGCGTGTGGGAAATTAATAAATGGGATGCCCCTTTCGCTGTGCTGAATGGTGTCCTGTGCTGTATAACTGTAATGATTCTGTATTGAATTTAAAACTGAAAACTGCACCATCTTGTCTCATGGGAGGGACATCGCCAGGGGTCCTGACTGCCCAGATCATGCCATATTCCTTATGACAGTTTATTACGGACCACAGAATGTTACAGGAGAGAAAAAGGTCATTTGGACCATCGTGTTTGCACTAGTATTTTATTCTGCATGAGCCACCAATCAAATCCCACTCTCTTGCTGATCTCTAAACCTTCTGAAAGGCTTTTTATTGAGCATCTATCTAATTGCCATTAAAGCTTCATGGCTGCTTGTAGGACACTGCTGTGTACAAATTGCTCGCTGGATTTGCCTACAACCACAATTACTGTACTACAGTTTGAAGTAAATCCTGTGAAGTGTTTGGAACATTTTGACGATGTGATGTGGAGCTATATCGAATGCAATGTTTATCGTCATTATGATTATTAATTTATGGTACTCAGGAACGATTTGTGGCAGAGAATTCAACATTCTGGTTATGCTTTGTGTTAATTTTTTTAGAAAGGCCTAGAAAGATAACAAGATATCTTTTGATACAATAAAAATTGAGGGCAGCTTCTTTTCGATGTTCCCTGCTATATAGACACACACAATTTAAACCACATCTAGTTTTTGTTTCTCACTTTGAACTAATTAATTCCTATCAATCTGTTCTACATATCTCAACAAAAAAAAGTTTGGCCTTAGGTTTATGCACTAATGAAATTGCACTCACCTTGTCTAGATAATAGCTTGATCTTGTTCTCCATCTTTTTCAGCCGCCAAAGCCTAGTGATTTAGCTGTTGTTTGTTTCACTAGTGGGACAACAGGTAAATAAACCTCCAGGACTTTTATGAGCACTGTTTACAGTAGCTTGCTCTGAAATTTCAGAACTTGTTTTGTTGTGTTAATTTATGCTTCTGTTGCATACCCCAATGTTAATTTGGCAACTTCTATTACCGTTAAAAGTATATATTTCATATTAAAGCCTTGAACCAACTGTCTGTGTTTCAAAACATTATTTTGCTTATATTCGACTAAAATGAGTTTGACTGAAAATCTTAGAAAATATCCTGTTTGTGGTTTGTAGATGATTGTCAGATAATTATAAGCAGATAAGCATAATAGCATAATGCTGCTTTTTTTTACTTTGACAGATGATATATTCTTATGCTGAATAATTGTAATTGCATTAATAAACCTTGATTGCTTTTACAGGAAATCCCAAAGGGGCAATGCTGACTCATGGGAATATCGTGTCTAATCTTTCAGCATTTTTAAAAGTTACAGAGGTAAAAGCCAGCGGCTGCCTTCCATGATGTGGTGGTTTTCCAAAAGGGTTAACTAAATATGTATTGGCGAAAACCCAATGTGCTTGTTGAATAGCCAAGGCCCATAGTATATGGTCCCAGGATTGAAAGAGCAGCAGAGAAAATCAGTTCAATTAAGATAGTTGGTTCAAGTCGAGCTTGTGAAAATGATTGTATAAGAAATGCAAGGCAGAATGAAGTAAGAGCTTCACTCTTGAGGTCCTGAGAGTGAGTTAGAACAGGAAGATATTCAGGAGGACCTGTTTGAAGCTTGTGAGGAACACAAGCAGTGAAAATTACTGGCAACACAAAGTATTAGTTAAAATCCAATAATAAAGGAAAATTTACAAGGCTGAAGAGGGAGAGGATAGAGTGCTAGAGATGAAGGAACAGTCAATTATTTTGTTTAGAAATGCAAGATGAATGCTCAGAGCACTCCAGATGTAGGAGCATTTTGGAACTCGGGCATTATAATTACAAATTGTTGAGAGAAAATGAAATGGTGTTAGGGAGGGAACCAAAGCTTTTTGTAGTGGAGGTTACCAGAAAAGAATATTTATTGATTGAGCAAAGGGCAAGTTGTAGGTTGTTTGAGAAGTACAAGAGATTGAAATTGAATGAGTCAGATATTTTTAAGCGCAGGAAGTCTGGTCTGGTGATTAAGTGAGCAGAGTAACTGAGACAGCAAAATGAACATAAGCAATAATAATCTTTGGAGTGAGAGTAAACAGGAAATTGTGACGTGGTGAAATCTGAGGATCAGCAGATCAGTACAACTTGCAGCAAGTGACCTGATGACCCAGAAGTTGGCTACTTTTTAGCGTGTCACGTGTATCATAATTCTGGATGGTTTAGTAGACCTATAAGAAAAATAGTGCATTGCCCTGGAGTGAGTGTGGGGTGGTGGGAGGGTGGGGGGTGCAGAATGCTATGACGGGTTTCCTCTATATGTCTTGTTTTGAACATCTCTGCTCATATATCTGACAAAATAAATGTGGTAGCCAAGATCAGTATGGCTATAATTGGTGTTCTGTATTACTGCTGCTAATGGAATGCAATGCTCCCAAAAATAATAATCAAATTTAAATAGAGTATTTTCCATAAGCTTATAGCTTTATGGATTTTTTAAAATACTAATTGTAGCTTTATTATTAAAATACATAATGAAATTTGCTGTAAACTACTTGATGGAAGCATCATTAAAATTGGTTTTGAGCACTTACTGAACATTTTAATAATGTGCAGATGTGAGGGATAACCTTAACTATTGTAAATCTTTCTCTTCATTGATGGTGATTTAAAAAATTACGTTGAATTCTGCTAATTTAAAAAGAACTTTGAATTTTGTAATTGTGCTTGTGAATAATCAGCATGTTGTAATTGTGCAAATTGTGCCTTGAAGGTTGTGATTATTGTATAATTTCTTTTAATTTTGTGCATCTTTCCATCTTTCTTCCTCTAATCATGCAGAAAGTGGGCGTCCCAACTCCAGCTGATTCTTTAATTTCTTTCTTACCCCTGGGTCATATGTTTGAAAGAATAGTTGAGGTAGGTGTCATAGTTGGCCTGAGATGTGCATTGTGTTTTTACAGGGCCATTGGGTTCCATTGTCCACTGACATACACCTTTCCTTTTTACCACTTGCACACATGTTTGAAAGATTGGTGGAGGTAAGGTGCAGAATGTTTAGAATAAGGTATATTGGAATTGACCATTCTCCTGCTCATAATTGATAAGATAACCATTGTATAATTCATATAATTTTTTTCTGAACTCGCAGTGACCTAGGTTCAGGGGCATAACATGAAGAATATAGCTTAGTAAAATTATACAATTCATAATTCCCTGTTTGGGTGCAGTCAGTTCACTACTTAATGCAAAATCAGGAAACCATAACTATTTGATCGTTTTACAGATACAGAGTACAGTATAATCATTGGCGGATTATTGTATGAACATCTTGACACAAAATTATAATCCTGAAAAGTTATGAATAGTTGGTTAATGGGACTTGTAGATTTCATTCTACACATTTCTATATCGCATCCAGAGAAATTTTGTGCCAAAAGGTTTCAAAACACTTTAACCCGTTTTTAGATAAAGATCTAATTGCTTTAAGTGTTATCCTCTCAACGTGAAAGGCACTGTATGAGTGTAAATTGTACTGTAAGATTTGAGTAGGATGGAAGTCTCTCGCAATGAGCCAATTTCTTTTTTATGTTACCTGAAAAATATTGTTGTGCTCTTTAATAATCCCAATATTTGATGCAGCATCAATGGCGTCAATGTCTCCAATCCTTCACAGAATTGCTGTAACGTCTGTGTAATTGTAGATGAAATTGCCAGCTAATTTGCATGCAGTAAAGCTCCACAAGCTGGATTATCAAGAATTTTTGGCCAGGATACCTGGGAAAAATTCCCTTCTATTTTTGAATTGTGTGTGAGATCTTTAATATCCATCTGAATAGGCTCCCAAGACTTTGGTTTAATATCTCATTCAAAGGACAGCATCTCAATCATTGCATTGTCTTATTTTGTGAATCTAATGTACAATGTAGAATATGTAGTGCACTTATTATATGAATTGAATGTTTTGTTTTGATAGATAGACCTTTTTAAAAAATTATAAATATTACAATTGATTAAGCTAAAGAGTAAACATTGACATTTGTACCAAATTACAATATGTGGCGATGTTAAAATTGAATTACAAAGAACAGTTTGGAGAGAGAAATGAGTAATCCATTGAAGTAAAGGGGCTTTGAACGATGGAGTTGAAATGCACTTTGGAGCAGGGTAAGAGTTGTATATAATACACATACAAATAGGATCTTGCTCAGAAGGGGGACAGGGCAGGAGGGCAATTTGAGGGAAAACTTGCCACCTAATTACATTGTTACCAAATAAATTTGCCCTTTACGATATGTAAAGTCCTCCTTTTGTATCAAATCTTTATATTTGTTGACTTGAATTATGTCAGTTGATTTCTCACGTCTCCCAAATAAAAAAAAGGCTATTCCTTACTGGTGGTTCAACTTAAAAAAAAAAAAAAAAAAAATCCAGTCTCTTCTTAGATCTTTAGTGGGTACCATGTAGTTGAGTTTTGATTTTGAGGTGAGAAAGTATTTCAGTTCCGCGTTGCTTGGAAAGATGCTCCTCGTGATTAGTTCTCACTTTTGGTGGGTGTAAATGACTGGTTATTTGAGATTTACTTGATTTCATGAAATATTTGCAAAGCTTAACATTTTGAAAATAAGGCACTGATTGATGTTAATGAGAGCAATTTGTCTTTGGTATGTTTTTTTCTAACTTGTGGCCTCAATACAAAATATCACACTAAATTACATTTGTAAAGCACCTTTCGTTTTGGGAGTGCATCCCAAAGCACTGAACAGTCAGGGATTACGACCCGAGCGGGTGTGGGAGTTTGGGGGTTTGGGGATCAGGGAGGGTGGAGGATTGTTCAATGCTGAACAACAAAAGAATCTGAATTAAATATTCAGGTTACAACAAACTTAATAGCTTATTGTAGAGTTGCAGAGTTTGTATGTATTTTCTGGTTGACGTTTCAGGCTGTGGTTCTCTGTCATGGGGCACGGATCGGATTCTTTCAGGGAGATATCAGACTGCTTATGGATGACCTAAAAGCATTAAAACCAACTGTCTTGCCTGTAGTTCCCCGGCTACTCAATAGGATGTTTGATAAGGTGAGTCAGAATTGTTTGTGGAATTTGGTTTATGAATTAATTTTTTAAAATCAAACTTATTTATTGAAATGAATGTTTCTTTTATTTAATTGGAACAATTGCATTTTATTTGTTCAACTTTTGTGTACATAGGATATAGGCTGTCCGATTTTTTTCCGGTGAGGGAGGAGGAATTTAGGGCAAAGGAAAGGATGTTGATGCATTTTTCTCTTGTTTTTGATTGTTTTGTTCTGCTATCAGCAAGTCTTTGCTTTCACAGCATCACTAATAACAACTTGGTTTTTAGATAGCAATCTTCATGTAGAATAACATCACAGAGCACTCCAACAAAAGTTTGATCTTTTTCTCTCTCATAAACTGTTTTAAACCCTTCTCTATATTATCTGGGGACAATAGAGGGGTTTATTGTACATTTTAAGTTGCAAAGTTCTTTTCTGCTTTTCATCAACATTATTTTTAGTTGTAGACCCCTAAGGCTCATCTTGATGACACTGATTCCATTCAACACCTTCCACTGTAGCATGTTGGGTCCCAGATATAAAAAATATTTTGAATGCTATTCCATTCCAAAGACATTTCTCTTTCTTTGGTCTTTCATTTCATAGAACCTGTTCTTAACTTGGCTAAAGGCCTCAGTGGTGCCAACCAATTTCTTGGAAGGCAATCCTGCCTACCAGAAAGTCAAAGCCCAAAACATCCTGATCATGTCACAAATTCAAGGGATATGAGGACTTGCTGAAGACACTTCATCTGATTAATGGTAGAATCATGGATGAGCTGCTTCTTTTGTGCAGACAACATTCAGTTCATTTCTAATCTGGTTTGTAAAGTGAAAGGCACTGTTTAAACGCAAGTTGTTCTTTACTTGCCGTCTTTCAATTCCTTCTACCCCTAGAAATGTCTAATATCTGGTCATAACCGTGCTGGAATTTATTTATTTATTTATTTAACCGTGTGTTGGGAATTTATTTTTCAGGTGCACAACCAGGCTAACGGCCTTATAAAACGGCAGGTGTTAGAATTTGCAGCTTGGAGGAAAGAAGCACAACTTCAAAATGGGATAGTGTGTCGTGACACTATATGGGACAAGTTAGTCTTCCATAAAGTACAGGTATGCAATTTGTCCAGTGAATGATTAACATTAAACTCTATTAATAATGTAAATCTGTATTCCCTGTACAAAGAACAGTATTTTATTAAGACGTCTTTTTAATCCATTTGATTTCGTCACCATCTCACTCGCTCATCATCCAGCAGCTCTGACTCTGTTTTATTAAAAACCTGTGTTTTTTAAAAAAAGAAACTATGTTGAATTAATCTTTGTGACTTGAAGCCTATTTTTGTTTGAAATGCAATTTCTGCCTGTAGGACAATCTTGGTGGTCGGGTAAAATTGATGGTGACTGGAGCTGCTCCTGTGTCTGAAACTGTACTTACTTTTCTCCGGGCAGCCATTGGTTGCCAGGTAAGTTCAAGTTTTGTTTTTATTTCTCCAAGAGGTACAAAGACTGGCAAGCTTATACAGGTTTCTGGGACAAGTGGATCAAATCAATGAACGAAATGACTAGTATAGTTATACAGGGCAACACTGTAATAATGCCTTCGACTGAGTCCAGTATCTCAGTGACCACGTCATCAAAAAAAAAAATGGCCTGGCCTGGCCCACTTGTGGGATTGGCTTAGTTGTCTTAATGGAAGTCTTTTAAAGAGGAATAATATTCAGGGGAGAAACAAGACTAAAACAGACCCATTCCATGGCTATAAAATTTCTCCTCGAAATCCCAAACGGTACAACTCGATTAGAATGCAGTTTTTCGGGAGTCTGTATTTTTAACTGGGTGCAATTGAGAGCGGCTGCTGGTCAGAGCTTCAGCATTACGACATCACTGATCGCTTAACTGGTGATATCTGTACATACTAGTCAGCAATCCACAGGCATCGTGCTTCGAATCCTGTTTTGTGCCGATGTGTCTTGCAGCGTGATGAGAGGATTTCAAGAACGATGACGCAGTTTGAAATGTCAATGGCTGGTTTGGATGGTGCCCTGTCAGGATTTGGGATTTTTAGATATGAAAATGTCAGGGTCCACAACCCTATTGTGTTATAAGTGAACCCGTGTTACATGAACCATATTATAAATGGGTTCTACAATATCAAAATATTTATACTGTATTCTAAGGCTAAAGTGACTGACTGCGCAAAAAGCAGCCTCCTGAAGATGTACAAAACTGAACATCTCTAAAACGACATACCTTGGTTTATTCTATTCTTTGTCTTTCTTCCCCCTTCTCTTTACCCACCCACACACACACACACACACAGACTTCCCACATGAAAATGGTGATTTTGGTAACCCAATCCATTGAGACCGGTAACCATGTTGAAAAGAGATTCTGTTCTAACTTTTAGTTGCAGTATTTACTTTTTCAAACTTAAAATTAACTTTTTAACCCCAAATAATTGAAAAGTAGCCTTTTCTTTGTGTGTCATTTGTAGATGTTAATGAAGAATGAGAGCTATGAACCATTTGTGGAACTTACTTGCTCAGCAATAATGCATATTCCATCACCTTTTCCTTTGAACCACCACGCCAATAAAAACATTGTCACTTGCTGCCTAGCACTCCTAGATCTTTGTGCATTAAATATCCAACTGTGAAACGTGTGGTCAACCTACCTAAAGGAGTGTAATATTGCATATGCTTTTGATACTTTTGCAGTTTTATGAGGGCTATGGACAAACTGAATGCACAGCAGGTTGTACAATGAGCATCCCCGGCGACTGGACAGCAGGTATAAGCATAAGATGGAGTTATATAAATTGTATTTTTTTTAATATAGTGAAAAGCAAATTTTTGTTTTGTTTCTAGACTTTGAAGCAAACTTATTAAATTTAGTGAAAATTAAGTTGATTACATAATTCATTATTGACTAGCTGACAGTTAAATTATTTTGCTTTATGAACTCATTTACTTATAGCATCAAATTGATGTATAGCTTCATATCAGCAATGCATAGTCTAACTGCAGAGGTGAATTTTTGTTATTTGTCCCACAAATTACGACTGATAACTGTTTCTTTTAAATACAGGTCATGTTGGAGCTCCAATGCCTTGTAATATTATTAAGCTTATTGATGTAGAAGATATGGATTATTTTGCAGTTAAAGGAGAGGGAGAGGTAAGTGGAAAAGGTTCTGTTCAGCGTGTGTTGCTTAATTTGTGTTTGTATACTTTACCAACCAAGTATGCTGTGAATGAGAAAAGCTTTGGTCTCTACTTTAAGTCCTGAATGCTAGAAGTTTACAAACAGGAATTTAAAAAAACTGAACCCTC